GCCTACTAATGTGCCAGGCTGGGCTCTGGAGATGAAGACACCTTCCTTGCCCTCAAGGAGCTCACAGTCTAACTAATAACAGGAAGAGAGACAGGCATATATACACAGACAATTACAATACAATCTGATAAGTGCTGTAACACTTATCAGGTTGTATTATAATGGCCGATGTAAAATTTCTTCCCAGGGGGTGCTGCTCCAGGCTGCTGCTGGCTGTAACATCAAGACAGGGGAGGAACAAATTATAGAAATCAAAGGTTAAATGCTTTTCGGTTATTTCAAATATTCAGGCTTTCCCTAACCCTTGGCCATAGATGGAATTGGGAACTAGACACTGGCATGATGTAAAATGGGACTTCCGTGCACAGACTTCCAATAAAGGAACTTCTCAACCCCCTCTTCTAAAATATGAGGTTTTTTTTCCCTTTTTGCTTATATACTCCTCTTAACCTCCCCACCCTACTACTCACATGAGCCTGGTTTAATATCTACAGCTAGCAAAATGCTGAAAAATGGGAGCTTACAACTAACTGGATTAACCCAGTGTAACTGGATAGCAAAAAGCAATAAGTAACAGCTCATTTGGCACTTCTAAATCCAATAATCCTCATCCTTCACTGAAAAAAAAAAGTTAGAATGCTATTAAATACAAAATAGATAATATACAGATCAGAGTAGGAATGTTAGAATAGTTTATTTAATAAACATAATTAAACAGATTCTCTAAACTAAAAATAACATTCAGTTTCAGGAAACCAGAATTAGACCCTTCCAAGACCTTTGAGAATATCTAATTCACCTATGTATTATAAACAAGAAAAATGAAACAGAGAGGTAACACACTCTGCCCACTCCCTTTTCAAAATCGTGTGAGTGATAATAACAGACTCCTTGAGGTAAGATTACCACTGTAATAGTTATTACCACTGTAACAGTTTTACACAAAGATAGGATGGCATTTTTCTGTGTCTCATACCTTTCTTAATAATACCTAGGTTTTTAATGGCTTTTTTGTCTCTGACCAGCAAATAGGGCTGAAAACATCAGCAAGTTGTTGACAGTTATACTGAGATCACTATTTTCGGACCCAATGTCTCTATGAGGCTATTATTTAATAAGCTTAACATATTATTTTCCCCTAAAGTTATTACACTGCTCTTGCCTGTACACTGTTCCTTTCTGCCAATTAGCCCACTCCTGGTGCCTTCTCACATGCTAGTGCGTTCCTTAATGCATTTCACATCCCCAAAGCATTTAACAGTATGCATAAATGTGGACATTTCACTACCTGCCTATATCCTCCCTCAGGCCACTCAGAAATATTTAAAATAAGACCAGTCCCTGAATGGATGCGGGAGAAGAGACCACTGTTTTGTTTCTTGTCTAAATTAGTTTCTCATTAGGGACAAAATGTTGCCCTGTCTTCTCCCCATGCCCAGAGCCAGGAAGCACCACTGTTGCACAGTACTCAAAAGTGCTTTCCTTTTAGATAAAAAGCAATGGATTTCTGTTTAAAGGTCAGATGAGGCCAGGCAAGGTGGCTCATGCCTGTAATCCCAGCACTTTGGGAGGCCGAGGCAGAAGGATCGCTTGAGCCCAGGAGTTCAAGACCAGCCTGGGCAAGACCTACACTCTAAAAATAAAAACAAAAATATGATAAGAGGTCAGACAAATGTTATCTCAAAATGGCTACCAAGAACCAGACATGTATCCACACAGCAGTTATATCTGGAACTGCAAACATTTCTTCAGACTCAATGGCAACAAATATTACTGGGAGCATATCTGCAACAAATGACATTTGCAACTTACAAATAACATTCAGGCACAAATTGAATAATTCACAAAAGGAAATAAGAGCTAGTAATTAAGATCTAAAAGTCCAGCCTCACCAAATAATGAAAGAACTGTATCACAAAACAAAGACATCAGCCAGGTATGGTGGCTCACCCCTGTAATCCCAGCATTTTGGGAAGCCGGGATGGGAGAATCAATTGACCCCAGGAGTTCAAGACAAGCCTGAGCAACATGGCAAAATCCCATCTCTACAAAAAAATTTAAAAATTAGCTGGACATAGTGGCACACACCTGTAGTCCCGCTACTCAGGAGGCTGAGGTAAGAGGATCTCTGGAGCCCTGGAAGTTGAGGCTTCAGTGAGCCATGATCACGCCACTGTACTCCAGCCTGAGCAATAAGGGGAGAGCCTGTCTCAAAAAAAACAAAACAAAACAAAAAAACGAAGAGATACCATTCATTCATTTACATATGGAGTCAGCAAAAAAAAAAGCAAAAACATTTTTTATAAGTACCTAAACGACTGGGTACAAAAACTGACATTAATTTTTTGAAAAGTAACTATGCCAATTCTTTATAATGTTCAAATCTTTTGACAAATAACTAATTCTAGAAGTCTCTTCGGTAACAACCCAAAATAGATGAATAATAAAAACCAAATGAAAAGATATTCATTACATAATTTAAAATACTGAAAATCTGTAAAATACTTCCATACAACAGAACATCATGAAACACTGACAATTACAAAGAATGTTTAACATAGACATACACATGTTATAATGTTAAAAACAAAATACAATATAAAATAGTACACATATATTATCAACTGCATAGAAAAATGCAGAGAATGAAGTGAATAAATGTATTAACAATAGTTGTCTCTGGGTAGTGAAATTATGGATGTTTTTTCTCCCATGCTTGATAGTTATCTTCAAGCAAAGTTACGAAATTTACCAAATTTCTAGACTGAGGGAGCTATTCAAATTTAAACAATAGAAGAAAAATCACAAAATAGAAGACAAATTTGCCAAATAATTTCAAATCTCTACTAACCAAAAATTTAAAGACAAAAATTAAGAGGCAAACAATAACATGGAGTAGGTATTTATAACATTACAAAAGTCTGAGTAATCTTTATTTACAGAACACACTCAAACATAATAATAAACACTAAACTAAAACTTCAATGCATAAATCAACATAAGATATGAACTATCATTACATGAAAGAAAACTGCTGAGATATATATGGAGGAAGAAAATCCAAACTAATAAGCAAATGAAAAATTAATACTGGTTTTTATCCATTAAAAATTAAAAAACAACAACATTCAGCGCTTGTATGAGTAAAAATTGATACAACCTTTTTGGGAAGAAATTTGGCAATAGACACTGAGAGTTTAAAATGTTCATACCCTTTGATGTACTAACTCCACTTCCACAAATGTATCCTAAGCAAATAATAAAAATGAAACAAATGTATTTTCAGTCTTTTATTACAAGAAAAAAGACAATAACCTTTCCATCACTATTGTATATTTGGATCAACACGGCGAAATATTACTAATGGGTTAAAAAAAAACATGCACTGCAGCAAATGACTGGTTAGACGTTTCAAAGCGTTAGAGCAGACAGAAAATCAGGCAAAACAAGAAGGGTGTGTCCAGCCTGCCGCAGTCGGCCATTTTAGACCCTCTGCAGAACAAAAAGCACAGAAGACAAGGGTAGTTAAGGATAGCCACCCCACTAGGCACCAAATCAACAATTCTTTACCTTTTGTCTCCTAGGTATGTAACCCTGTAGTCTGCACAGTCAGAAACAGAAAACAGGTCTTCTTTCTCAAATGGCTTTGGTTAGTTACAAACACATTTTGAAAGCATAAAAGAAGGTTCCTTTAAATTCGCCTCCTCTTTTTAGGGAATAAAGCATAATGCTTAAGAGCACAGGCTTCTGGAGCCATCCCACCTGGATAAAAACCCTGTCTCAGCCATTCAACTGGCTGTAAAGCCTTGAACAAATTAGTCTCGTGTCCCTCAAATTTCTCATTTGTAAAAACTTAATAACAGTACTGCTGTTTCGTAAGATGGTCGAGAGTACCAAATGAGTTACGGCCTATGTAAAAGCACGCAGACCAGAACCTCAAACGTAGTAAGTACTATTGACATTTAATCATTATTACAGATAGAGAAATAGGCCCAGTGGCCGGGCGTGGTGGCTCACGCTTGTAATCCCAGCACTTTGGGAGGCTGAGGCGGGCGGATCACTTGAGGCCGGGAGTTCGAGACCAGCATGACCAACATGGTAAAACCCCGTCTCTACTAAAAATACAAAAATTAGCCGGGCGTGATGGCGTACACCTGTAACCTCAGCTAATACTTGGGAGGCTGAGGCATCAGAATCGCTTGAACCCGGGAGGCGGAGGTTATAGTGAGCTGAGATCGCGCCACCGCATTCCAGCCTGGGCGACGGGGCAAGACTCTGTCTAAAAGTAAATAAATAAGTGAGCGAGAGAGAGAAATAGGTCCAGAGAAGGAAAAGGATCATCATGAAATCATAGCTAGGATTATTGGAAAAAGATGTTTTTTTCACTTTTTAATCCTGTACCCTTTCTAACTATGTATCTGTATCTAAGTGCTAACTTACTAGTTTTAGCGATTCACAGCAAGTCTTCAGAGAGTCATGACAGTACATCTGCCTTTAAAATAGAAACTCTAATCTTCCCCCTTGACAAAACCGTGCTGAAAGTTCTACAGAAGAAAAAATAAAGGAAAGGGTGAAAGCCCAGGTCACCTTCATACCACCACTGCCATTAACTACTTTTCTATCTTTCTCCACGACAGTATGAGTCCCAGGCAGCCATAGGTCCCAATTCCAGGTTTACAGCAAAGAGTAACAAACATTTGGAAACACATCCAAACCCTCACGCCTATGTTCTCAGGGGAGAAAATCAAGGGCTTTCGGCCAACATTAACATTAGATTCTCACACTACAACCACAGTGTTTTGCTACTCTGATGGGATGACTGTATTCAGAGCCAAGTACAGAGACCCAAGATCGGAAAGCCAGAGAGAGCCCTCCGAATGCGTACTGCCCAAATGTGGCCTGTCTCCAAGTGCTCCCTTTTTACGCATTTCCTACGCACCGCCAGCTGCCGCAACCTTTTGCAGAGTCATCATCGCCTCCTCATTTTTGAACCCACTTACCGATAGGCCAGTGAGAGGCTAAGATTCTGGCTTAATTTCTAGTGGATCTGGCCACAGCATAGGAGAACTCCAACTCAGGTTGACTGATCCCTTCACTCAGCTAAAAAGGTAGTTCTCTGCAGGGCCTGCTAGCCCAAGATGGCCAAGCAAAGACAGCTTACCTCCCCCCTCGCCATTTTGCAACCTTAGTTACCCGAACGCTGAGCGCCTCCCCTCCCCGGCACTCCGTCTGAAATACGCATGCGCGCCGCTTCCTCCTTACCGTTCTCCCCAACCTTCAAGATGTTGTCTCAAATACGCTTGAGCTCCATCTCTACCTCCCAACTTCTGGTACCAACTCCTAGCAACTTTGCGTTCGTAAATATGCCTGCGAGTCTTTCCCTTCCTGACCTTCCAAGCCTCCAACCCCTACTCCATTCAAGTCTTGCGCATGCGTGCCTCCCTCTCCCCGCCACCCACTGGAGCCCCTCCCCTTAACTCAAGTCTTCTCAAATACTGTTAGCTTGAGCGCCGCCCCTCGGCGCCGCGCCTCCTCATCCAGCCTCTCAAATACCCTGCGCACCTCGCTAGTCCTCTCCCTTCTTGCTCCTATTTGTATACAGTATGCATGCCTGATGCTATGTGGACGTGTTTCTCGCCACTGTTCTTCCCTAATGCGGGTAGAAGCGATCAACTAGGGAAGTTGAATTGGGGAAAGAAGGCGTTGCAGGTGATCAGAGTGAATCCCAGATCTAGATGGAATGGGTCTAAACTCCAAGGGAGGGGGCTAGCGTACCCCGGGATTCACATAAGACCAGTCAACCTGAACAAAGGCAAGGGAAACTCTCATAAACCATCGGCTGAACATAATCCTAAGGCCTCGCCCTTTAAATACATCTGCTACAAATGACGAACCACAAATGTTTTAAACAGGGAACATTATGGAAAACACCGATGCTCAGGTGCCTTGACTCTAGTTAGAGGTAAGGAGTCCGCATTCCTTTCACAATGGGAAGCAAATGCTCAACATCCTTTTGGAAAACTGGGGCCTGTAACGGATTCCATTTTTTCCTCCCGTGAACTGAAAGAATGAACAAATTAAGGATCTTCCTGGCCCAAGTTCCCTCCGCCGCCCTCCATGTTCTGTTCTTCCCCTACATCGTTCCTTTACCTCCTGGTTGAATTCAGTGTCGTAGCAGGAATTCTTAGAGCCGGCCGTCCCAAGATGGGGTGGAGAGAGCGGCATGAAAGAGAGAGAGAGAGACGCCTGAATGGCAGCAGCAGGCCTTAGCGGCAATGGACAGCAGGCACATGACCAACTGTGCCTTGAGCCGCAACGCTGAAGCCAGAAAAGCACAACCGCTCCAGAATCGCCGCAGTGTGCTTCCAGCGCATGCGCTGCTCACGCCCCTTAACCCCCCGCCAGCTCTCCCGCCTCTAGGAGTCTAACCCTTAGCGGTCCACCGACCGCCTTCACTCACTTCCCAGGACGCTATCCCACTCTGCTTCTTTCACTTTTCCCCTCCCCTCGGTCACACTGGCCTCCACCATCACATCCCTCCCTCAGCCCATCCTTCTTTCGTCAATCCCTCTCCCATTATTCTTAGCCAACCATCTACCTTTATTTCCTCTGTTATCGTTAGTGGTCTACCCTACAATTCTTTACCTTCCCTGCCAGTCTGCAGCCCTCTTGGGCCTCTTACTCCTCTCCTCCTATGCCAGATATTGAAAATTGTAAAAATTACCGCCAAAAAAAAATTTATATAACAATTGTAGCCCGGGCGCGGTGGCTCACACCTGTAATCCCAGCACTTTGGGAGGCCGAGGTGAACGGAACCCTTGAGTCCAGGAGTTCGAGACCAGCTCAGGTGACATGGCGAAACCCCGTCTCTACAAATAAATACAAAAATTAGCCGGGCGTGGTGGTGCACACCTGTACTCCCAGTTATTCAGAAGGCTGAGGTGGAAAAATCACTCGAGCCCAGGAAGTCGAGGCTACAGTGAGGTATGATTATGCCACTGCACGCCAGCCTGGGCGATAGAGTGAGACTCCGTCTCAAAAAAAGAAAAAAATATTTCCACACATCCTCTCCAAAGCAGCTCTCAGGGTGAGTCCAACCAGCCTGTCTTGGGCAAAGAGAACACCTTATTGATGATGACCCACAGAGAAGATCCAGGTACAGGGAACCAGAACAAAAACTGCAAAGATGTTCAATCAATTTGGGGGTAAGAGGCAGTAGGCCACCAACATGGACAGCTCTTTTCTTTCTATTCACAACCCTAGTATTGTCTGGACATTAAAAATGAGATTCAGTGTCCTTCACTGCTTACTACAAGGCCTGTTCTTGTCTTCTGTGAGAACTCAAATATTAATTTTGAAAGAAATGGCATTATTTACTCAAGAGGCTCTGAAATACATCCCTCTTTGGGTGTGAACTAGAAAGAATACAAAATAATATTTTGTTTCTCTTTATTATGTTTTACTTTGGTGTCTGGTTCTTATTGCTTTCTAAAAAAGCCAGTTTGGAAATATCAAAAACTGAGACCCACAAATTCATAAATCCTAAAACCCATAAACTTATACATCATCATCCTCTCAAATTAACTTGTTAAAAATGTTATATCAACATTATTCAGGAAAAAATGGGTTTGCATTTTTTATATAATATACACAAAAAGATTATACAACAGTGTGCATATGAAGAAGAAAAAAGAGAAATAGGCATGCATTAAATAAAAAAGAAATGCTGAAATCTCAGTGGTACAAAGAACCCCTTCTAAATTAAAATATTCATTTATTATTACACAAAAGTTAAAATATAAGAAAGTTTACCCCAAATTCTACAACACTATTTTTCCCTTTTTTTTTTTTTTTTTTTTTGAGACGGAGTCTGGCTCTGTCGCCCAAGCTGGAGTGCAATGGCCGGATCTCAGCTCACTGCAAGCTCCGCCTCCCGGGTTTACGCCATTCTCCTGCCTCAGCCTCCCGAGTAGCTGGGACTCCAGGCGCCCGCCACCTCGCCCGGCTAGGTTTTTTTTGTATATTTTTAGTAGAGACGGGGTTTCACCGTGTTAGCCAGGATGGTCTCAATCTCCTGACTTCGTGATCCGCCCGTCTCGGCCTCCCAAAGTGCTGGGATTACAGGCTTGAGCCACCGCGCCCGGCCTCTACAACACTATTTTAACAAATCCTTTTATCTCTGTTCTTTTTCTGTTTTAATGGTTTTATTGATATACAATTTACATATCATATAATTAACCAACTTAAAGTATACAATGCAATGGATTTTAGTATATTCACAGAATTGTGCAGCTACCACTACAATCAATTTTAGAATATTTTCATCACCCCGAAAAGAAACTTCATACCCATTAGTATAGTCTTAGTCCATTATGTGCTACTGTAACAAAATACCGCAGACTCCGTAATTTATGAAGAACAGAAATTTATTTCCTCACAGTTCTGGAGAATGGGAAGTCCAAGATTGAGGGACTAGCATCTGACAACGGCTTTCCTGCTACATCATCCCATGGTGGAAGGGCAAAGAGATAGAGAGAGAAAGCACCCAAGAGGGGGCCAGAACTTGTCTTTTAATAAGGAACCCACTACTGAAATAACAAACCCACTCCCTCAATAATAGCATTAACCTATTCATAAGAGTGGTGCCCCCATGACTCAAACACCTCCCTTTAAGGCTCACCTCCCAACACCACCACATGGGGCATCAAATTTCCAACATATGAACTTTGAGAGACATATTCAAACCACAGCAAGCATCTTTGTGTTCTCTCATGATTTTTGTTCAAATATATAATGTTTTGGTTGGGTGTGGTGGCTCATGCCTGTAATCCCAGCACTTTGGGAGACAAATACAGGAAGATTGGCTGAGCCCACAAGTTCGAAACCAGCCTGGGCAATATAGCAAGACCCTGTCTCTATTTAAAAAAAAAAAGAGAGAGAGAGAGAGAGAGGCGGGGGCCAAGTGCAGTGGCTCATACCTGTAATCCCAGTACTTTGGGAAGCCAAGGCAGACAGATCAGTTAAGGTCAGGAGTTCAAGACCAGCCTGGCCAACATGGTGAAACCCTGTCTCTACTAAAAACCACAAAAATTAGCTGGGCGTGGTAGCGGGCACCTGTAATCCCAGCTACTCGGGAGGCTGAGGCAGCTGAATCGTTTGAACCTGGGAGGCAGAGGTTATAGTGAGCTGAGATGGCACCACTGTACTCCAGCCTGGGTGACAGAGTGAAACTCCATCTCAAAAAAAAAAAAAAAGAAAAAATGTACATATAATGTTTTAACATTAACATTTTTTATGACACTATATTTGTGTTTGAGGCTGTGTTTTTACCATGCACAGATGAATCTTCATCAGCAAACAGAATTAGTTCTGTTTCTTTCAAGGAACTTCTACTTCTACCTTCAACTCAGGCAAGGAGCTTGGTCCTAGGCTCAGGCATATGGAAATCACTACACATCACCCCAAAGTCTCTGTGCATAAGAGACTCAACTTTCCCCCCACCAACACCATTTACCAATGGCACAGACAAACATCAACATTTTATAGATACAGTATTGTGCTGTTTTCACTGCTTTTCCATGCCCCTAATTATTGATTATCTTCACTATTTTTAATAAATGGACAACATTGCATTTTTTGAAAGTATTATAAAATTGAAATCAGCACATAATTCTTGCAGATGGAGTTACTTACTCTTTCCACATCCCTTTATTTTGACAAATTTCCATAATGCACCGTGACCCCTTAAGAAGAGAAATTCAAGAAAAAGGCACAGGCCAGGCACAGTGGCTCACGCCTGTAATCCCAGCACTTTGGGAGACCGAGGCAGGCAGATCATGAGGTCAGGAGCTCAAGACCAGACCGGCCAACATGGTGAAACCTCGTCTCTACTAAAAATACAAAAATTAGCCAGGTGTGATGGCGGGTGCCTGTAATCCCAGCTACGTGGGAGGCTGAGGCAGGAGAATTGCTTGAACCCGGGAGGCAGAGGTTGCAGTGAGCCAAGACTGAGCCACTGCAGTCCAGCCTGGGTGACAGAGCAAGACTCCGTCTTGAAAAAAAAGGAAAAGAGGCCGGGCGCGGTGGCTCAAGCCTGTAATCCCAGCACTTTGGGAGGCCGAGGCGGGTGGATCACGAGGTCAGGAGATCGAGACCATCCTGGCTAACATGGTGAAACCCCGTCTCTACTAAAAATACAAAAAACTAGCCGGGCGTGGTGGCGGGCGCCTGT